GTATCTTGTATTCACAATTATAGTAAATAAAATTTTCGCAATCTACCTATGGATGTAGGTCACATTGACTAAATCATGTTAATTATGTGTTTTTTTCTATCACTTTTTCGTTTCACATAACAATATGGATCAAATGATTTTACTTTATCAAAATTGAGTACGAAAGCAATTCTAGTGAATTATAGATGTCCAACGATACTAAACGATAAAAAAAAATTTGCCTATGACTTTGATAAATGAAGTGAAGAAAGTGATATTGAAAAAGACATATAATATGATTACATTGAGCCTAACTAATGAGGTTCCGAAAAAAGTAGTTGAAAAAAAAAAGTTGCAAGAATGTGGAGCAAACTTGGAGAAAGATATCAAAAGAAATATTTAAACAATTGCTTGTATTAGAAGCAATTTTTGTATACCTTGGAGATGTTTGAGAATATGTGAGAGATCCTCTTGACAACTTTAATTGAATTATCCTAGACCTTCAAGATGTTAGGGTTAAAATTGATGATGAAGATTAGACTATTATTCTATTATGCTTTATGTTGAAATTATTTAAGCATTTTGTTGATATTATGCTATATGACAAAGATAATATTACTATTAACGACATGTAAGATGATAAGCAATCTAAAGAACTGAAGAGGACAACCTCTGGTTTAATGAAGACCACAAAATTAAAGCCAATATAGTTGTCGCACAAGCTAATGCAAATGATTACAATTATAGTTCTGATGAAGGGGATAACAAAGATGGTTTTATGGTTAGTACTATTAGTTCTGCTGATACTTAAGTGATGGACACTAGTGCTTCATATTATATGACTTTTAAGAGAGCATTGTTTACTTCATTTAAAAAGTGAAATGACATTGTGAAGTTAGAAAATGATGAGAAACTTAATTTGAAAGGGGGTGATCTAGTGCAAATAAAGGTATATTCCCAGTTTGCGAAAAAACTTAATTTCTGTTAGTACCTTGGATAAACAAATGTACAATTTTTTGAGAAAGAATCGACATTTGTAATTTTTAAAGATGCTCTAGTTGTGATGAAAGAAAGATTATATCATGGTAATTACATTATGTTGGCAATTCTATTGACAGAAAGGTGTCAATAACTCATTCTTTAGAGCAACATACTGATAATACAAATTTGTGACATCATATATTAAGGCATATGAGTGATAGAAAATTTGTAGTATTTACCAAATGAGGATTGTTAGGTGAAGTAGTGACTATAAAATTAAAGTCATGTGATTTTTGTGTTATGGGCAAGCAATGCAACTTAAGTTTAGTCATAAAAAGCATACTTCTACCAAAATTCTACATTATGTTCATTTTGATTTATGAGGTCCTTTTCTAATAGGTCCTATGAAAAATACAAATATTTTGTGATGTTTATGGATAACTACTTTAGGATGATTTGGGTGTTCTTTCTTAAGACCAAGGTTAAGGTGTTTAAGCAATTCAAGGAGTAAAAGACTATGGTTAAAAATCAAACTAGTAAACACGTTAAAACTCTTAAAACAAATAATGGATTTGAGTTATACAATGCACTATCTAATGATTACTGCAAAGAGATAGACATAGTGAGACATTATACTATGAATAATACACTTTAGGAAAATAATGTTATTAAATAAATGAATCAAACACTACTACAACGTGATTATTGCATGTGGTTAAATACTGGTATTTCAAAATAGTTTTGGATTGAAGGAAATAATACTATTAGCTATGATTAATAGATCTCTATCTACTACAATTGATTCAAAGACTCATCAAGAGGTATGGTTTAGTAAACTTTCTGATTACTTTGCCTTGTGTATATTTGATTATCCTGTTTATCCTCATATGAATAATGAAAAATTAGAGGCAAAGACATTAAAATGTATATTTCTTAGGTATGCTAAGGGTGTTAATGTGTATAGATTGTGATGAACTAAAAAGAATATGATGCACAAATTTATTACTAGCAAATATGTTAATTTTATAAGTATTTTATAAGTGGCCAAAAAGAGAAGGTTGAAAATCTTGCAGTTAATAAAGGTTTAAATAAGAGAGTTCATCTAAAGTGGAGATTGAAATTGATGTCCCAAACAAGGAAAGTTTGAATTTGCCCAATAAAGTACAGAATGAGTTATAAAGTATAGCAGCAAGGAGAACAAAGAAGGAAATCCGAAAAATTGTGAGATATGCAAATATGGTTAATGTTATTGATACTAATTCTATTGCTTATGCCTTGACATAGTAAAGAGATGCAATCACTTAAGAAAAATCATACATAGGACTTAGTACCATTGGCAAAGGGTGTAAAGCTAGTGGATTGCAAACATGTTTTTAAGAAGAAAGAAAGAATTCATAGAGTTGAACTATCAAGGTTCAAAACAAGGCTTGTGACAAAAGATTTTTTATAAAAAGAGGAAATTGACTGTTGTGAAGTATTTTCATCAGCAGTAAAACATAAGACTATCTAGATTTTCTTAATTATGGTAAATATTTTAAATTTGAAGTAAGAGTATTTTGATGTAAAAACTGCTTTATTGCATGTAAATCTAAATGAACAAATTTATATGTTACAACTTATGGGTTGCTTGAGGCTAGAAAGGAGAATTATGTATGTTTGCTGAAAAAAATTCTCACATGGTTTAAAACAGAACCTGAAATAGTGGTATAAAAGGTTTGATGTTTTTATGATTTTTCATAATTTTGTTTGTAATCAATTTGATAATTTTGTTTATTGTAAGAAATGGTTAGATGATTTATTTATTTATTTGTTGTTATATGTAGATAACATGTTAATTGTAGGAAAAAAAAACATAGTTAACATTAATGATCTCAAAATAGTATTGAGTAATGAGTTTGAGATAAAAGACTTAGGTGTAGCCAAGAAAATTTTGGGAATAAAAATTTAGGGAGAGAGGAAGTGCAAGTCTACTTAATGTATCTCACATAAGAAATACATTGACAAGTTATTGCAGTTTTTTCACATAGAAAATCCTAAGCTGGTAAATACTCTCTTGGCAAGACATTTTAAACTTGTTAGAATCTAGATGTATGTCATGATTTGCACTAGATCAAATTTGGTTTATGTTGTTATTGTGGTAAACAGATTTATGAATAATCTAGGAAAAACTCATTTAGGAGACAATAAAATGAATTATGTGATATCTAGAAGGTACTAGTGATATATGCTTGGTTCATGGTTCTAATGAAATTCATAGTTGCATTAGTGAATTTTGACTATGAAAGAGATATTATGAAGAAAAGATCATTGACATGTTATATTTTTATTCTTTCTAGATGTGCTATTGAATGGAAAGCAATACTTCATTCTACTATTGCTTTGTCTACAAAGTGAAGTACATGTCATTGAGTTAAAGAAGGTATATGGTTGTAAGGTTTTATTGATAGTTTGAGTTTGTATTTGCAAAAAGGTGTTCTTTATTATGAAAGTCAAAATGCATTGAACTTAGCTAAAAATCTAATATAATTAAATCATATTGATGTTAGATTAAATTTTATTCGAGATAAAGGACTAAATATTCTCTACAACGAAGATAGTCATGACAAATAATCTAATATATATATTGCTAAACATTTGCATATAAAAAAAATTCAAGTATAACTTGGATTTGACAAACATAATTTAAACTATTCAAGATATATTGACAAGAGAGTAATTTTTTACTAATTAATATTTTAAAATAATTCATGTTTAGATAAAGAATTATGAAAAAGTCTTAACATGTGTAATGACTTTTTTTAATAAATGTGATAATTCTTCTATCTCTTGAGTTTTAATTATTTTTATTTTTATAATAAATTGTAATAAAAAATTATAAGTTATTATAATGAGTTATGAATTATTATATATATAAATTTTAAAAGTTAAATTTTTTTTCTTTAACGTATTTTATATTTTATATATGTAAAATATAGTCAAATAAATTATTTCAACATGTCTTGTCACATTAGTTAAAACACATTGATTTTGAGTTAATTTTGTCATCATTCTTTTTCATTTCTTTCCTAACATATAACTAATTGCAAGGTTAAAATAAAGTGCACATAAGAAAGAAAGATAAGCATGATTTTCATTTTTCACTTAGAAGCGTCAAGTTAATTTAGTTCATTTTAGTTAGCACACTATTGATTAAACAGATTAAGTTACGGTTTAAACATTTACTAGCCCAACTCAATCCCTTTGTCGGCCGAATGAACCTCAACGGGCCGCGCTTTTTTTTTTTTACAGCTACTTCCAAAAATAGTATAAGGATTAAATTATTTTTCATTCCTTAAAATATTACCTTATTTATTATTTTAATTTGTATTTTTTTGTTAAATCTCTAATTTTATTAAAATATATTTTTGCGATTTTTACTGTTATAAAATTATTTTCAAGGAATTACATGACAAACGAGTCATAAACATGTGACATAATTTGATTATGTCACGTCAACGTTTAATCAAGTAATTCTAACCACAGAAAAAAAATAAAAATATATATAATATTTTTTTCATAGAAATTAAAATAAAAATATATTTTTTGAAAATAAAATACATATTTGAGCCTAAATATAATATAACGAATAAACATATAAAATGATATCATATTTTAATATTACCAAAATTTATCAATAATGTTTTCTATATAATGGATGTATGATTTAAAATATTTTTTCTATTTTATTTTTAATTTTTAATTCGTAGATCTAATTTAATATAAAAAGATTGGTCAAAATAAATAGTACTCTATATAATTATAAAAATATATATAAAAGAAATGGTTCGGTGAATTAGCTTGGTTCACACGGACAGGGCTAGGCTATCCGAACAGCCCAATAATATGGTTGATATGACTATTTTATCTTCTTATTTGAATTGAATGACCAAGGTATAGTAGATAATAATAATGAGAAAATGTGGGTTTTGATGAAGGGCATTTTGGAGATTTCGAAAACCTTTTCATTTCCATATAAACAAGATTGGAGATACAGTACCTACTTTTCACCGTTCGCATCAGTGGGTGGAGAATACATCAGTTGCAGAGTGAAACAATGCCGTGCCTCAACCTCTCTACCAACGTTAATCTTGACGGCGTTGACACCTCTTCTATTCTCTCCGAAGCCACTTCCTCCGTCGCTAACCTTATTGGCAAACCTGAGGCTGTACGCAATCTCTCTCTCTCTCTAACGCTTCCGTGACGTCTTTTTTTTTTTTTGTGCTTTGGATTCTTTTTGAAATTTCCGTTTCTGGGTTTTCACGCTTTGGTTCTCTTTTCTTTTTGTAATATTTTCTCTTCTATTTGTTTTTACAATTATATGTAAGAATTAGCGGAGTGTTTATCCCCTTTTTCCTTTTTAGTTTCTCGTGTTTTCAAATGAAGATTGAACTGTTATCTAAGACATAGGGTTATTGTTACTGTTGTTATCTGATTCTTCGGTTATGGGTTATATGGATAGTGGTGATAGGAATTTTGTTTTGATAATTTTGATTGCTTGTCGAAGCTTCTTTTCAATTGAATTAAGGGTCTGTTTGGATGCACAGATTAATTATTTGCATATTCAATAAGGTTTTTTTTTAACTATACAATTTATTGGAATAAGCTGAAATCAGCTGATTTTGATAAGTTATATCGATAAATTTTGTGAAATAAGTTTTTTCTAAAAAAATAATCATTAGTTATTTTCACAAGCTGTCCATACTTCTTCCGAACTGGCCCTAAATTGATGGTTCTGGTGTTAATATTGTGTTTGGTAGAAATTGCCAAATCGGAATGATCTGAGTATGTATGTTATTTAAAACCAGCAAATCCCTCGATGCATGCTTAAAATGGATAATGAAATATTATCTGTATTACGACGGATTATAAAGTCAATAAGTGGATGAAGTTTTTAATTTGTCAAGTTAAGCTTCTCCACCCTGTGTTGAACATGACTCAGTGACATCCCATGATTTACTCTTTTTCACCTTCATATCAGAAATATAAGTTATGTTTTTGTGCTTTCGATCATGTATTAGTCAAGCTGCTCGTTTACAATCACATGCTTCTCGAGTGAATTTTCTGGATGCTATTGGAGGGATGCTGCTACCATGGAGTGATAGTCAATATAACATGAACTTGTCTTCTTTTGAGTTATTCAAATTGTTGTTAACCCTTTTGATTTTGCAGTATGTGATGATTGTATTGAAAGGATCAGTGCCTATATCTTTTGGTGGGAATGAGCAGCCAGCAGCTTATGGTGAATTGGTGTCTATTGGCGGTCTTAACCCAGATGTGAACAAGAAACTCAGTGCTGCCATTGCTTCAATTCTTGAAACCAAGTTGTCAGTGCCCAAGTCACGATTCTTCTTGAAGTTTTATGACACTAAGGCAAGTATCTAGACTTCTAGTTGTCCTCAAAAGAAGGGCCATTACCTTGCACCCTCTTCTTATTCCCTTCTTCCTTTTTGTTTAGGCCCATCAGAGTCAAGAATATGCACAATGTTTGCATGCTTTACACCAGCACTAGATCATGTAAATAAATCCTCACTGTTCAAAACTTTTAGTAGCCGCTATAAGCTCTACTTAATAATCCAACCAATTTCTTGTTGATGCTAACACCAAAATTTTCTATGCCCAAAAAATATTTGGTCGCATATTCTTTGCTGATACTGAATGTTGATTGCGTTTTGTGTGTTCTGCAGGGTTCCAACTTTGGATGGAATGGGTCTACATTCTGAATTCCATGTTGGTAGCAGTGCCATGGATGTTGGATGAAGTCGTTATTCTGTCTAGAACCTTCTTTTCTCTATAGTTAATGTCACTTCGTAAGTACTCTGAATTTCTGATAACCCCTTTGAGGACATTTTGCCATCTTAATTTGATTTAGCTCAAGGACAAAAGGGGATTGAATATGCTTATGATGCTGTGTCTGGACAGCACTATCTGGTGACCTTAAAATGATAATATTTTTAATGGTGAATTATGCATGGTTTAACTTGAGACCATGGTGATAGTACGTGGTAGATCCTTTTCCTATTACTACTAATACTATTTTTTAGTTCTAAGATTAGATTAATGGTGGATTTATAAGCTCTTTTCGGTTGACCAAAAATTATACGAACCAGGTTAACCAAACAAAAGATTGGTCTTTGAGAAGGTAGACTTTAAAACAGCACGATTAGGTAAACGTCTCCTTAAATTTGATGAAATTTCTCTGTCGTCTATTTAAGTTTTGGTGTAAAAACATGAGATATATGAATGGGAACCGTAAAAAAATGTAGTCTAAACTGCAAGGATAAATAGTATAACTCCAATCTTAGGGTTGAGTTGGAACTAGGCTACACTCATACGTCCTAATCAAGACTACCATTGAAACTGCAGTGGATACAGTTAAATAAGTGTCTACAAAAGAAACCAAACGCCTTATCATGGTCTGATAATTTCTACCTAATTGAAGAGAAAATTCCTCATTTGACAAATTTAGATGGTAATTAATATGCAAAATTTTGCCTTGATCCTCAATGAATCACAAATGTATATTCTATTAAGTGCGGGTTATTTTTATTAGTAAATGCGTGATTTGGAATGTTCAAATTTGAAGAAGTCACTGTTGATTTTTTTTTTTTAAGATTAGTTAAAATAAATAATTATTTTAAAAAAACTAGATCAATATATGTAGTTATTTGTAAAAACCTGACATTCTAGGAGTGGATGAAATTTACTGAAATAAAGAGTACTAGAAATACACTTTTTATTGACATTTATTGAAAATTGTATAATTATGAGTTGTTTTTAATAAATTAGAAGCATGCTCTATTTAGTTATGTAATTTTTGAAAAATTGTTTTGTTTATTGAAAAATTGTCAGGGGACGAAATATTAAATATGAATTCCAACTATCAATTTGGGAAGGAATATTCTTCCTTAGAGAGAATATTAAGTTCTTGATAGTTTTTAATCAATAGAATATCAACTAATGTCATAATAAATTTCAGTCAACTTCATTCTGAACTTACATATAATTTAGTCAGATTCAATAAAAATTATATAAAAGAAATCAAACACTTTTAACCATTGTATGATCAACAGATAAAGGAATGAACATATATTTTAAAAGCTAAAATTTTTAGACGTCTACAATTTTTATATTTTAATTTGTGTTTTTATTACTAGAATATAACTTTTGTTAATTAACTAAAGACCTTTCTCTAAAATATAATTTTTTATATTTTATTTGGCCGTAGAATGGGGGATACTTGTTGCGTGCTTAATTATTAAAAACAACTAATGATGGAATTTATGAAAATAACTATGGAAGGAAGCACAGGTCAAAAAGAAAGGATAAGAAAATTATTGTAAGCAATATCGTTTTTGTTGAAGAAAAGGAGAGTGAAGTGAAGATGCCGTGCCTCACCTTGATGCTGTGGACATCTCTTCCATATTCTCCCAAATCATCTCCACCGTCGCCAACATCATCCACAGACCCGAGTCTGTATGTGTACTTCTCCCACTCTCCACGCATCTCTTTTCTAAAGTCTTTACTGTTTGCATCACTATATATATAAAGAAGGATCAATACCCATACCTTTTGGTGCGACTGAGGAGCAGCAGCTTATGGTGAATTGGTCTCCATTGGTGTTCTAAACCAATGAAAGACATTTTATCCGTATGGAGTTATTTGACGAAAAATTCCCTGTCTAGGGTGATTTGTGAGTGTCATAAAAAATGTTGGCGACACAGGACTAAGTATCGGCTGAAAGAATGGCGACACAGGCGACTATTGAGAGCGGTTACTTTCAAACCGCTCTCAAAAGTCATGTTAGAGAGCGGTTCACACCAGTGTCAGGTTGTTCAGGACCGACACACACTGATTGGTCTCCTTTGTGCTTCTGGTTCTGTTATTCATCTTCTTTGGTGAAAAATTTTTGCAAATTGAAAACGCAGAGGTGGAGGTGGAGGTGGAGTGGAGAAGCACGGCTTGCATATTTTTAAAGCTTTGAAAGGTAAGAAAAAAACATTATAGTGTATATTAAATATAAATATAAAATATTTATTCTTGCTTCCGTTTTTGGTCCCAGGAATATTGCAATCGGTGGTGGTCCAGGCTACTGTGAGAGGGACTTTTGGTGGTCCAGATTTTTAGCAAAAGGAGGTTAGTAAAAATTTATATTAGCTTGTGATTTTGTTATGCATGTAAAAAATAGAAAAATAGAAAAATAGGAAAATAAAAAAATAGTTAAATTAAAATATATAATTTTCTTGTTACTTATGTAAAAAATAATTAAATAAGAAATATAAAAGAATTAAATTGAATAAATATATGAGGAAAAATTATGTGTGATTATTATTATAAGGTTAATAAAATATAAAATTATGAATAAAAAAATAAAATTGAAATAATAAGAATGAAAAACATTAATTAATAAATTTATATTATAAGAATCTGCAGTTGTTAAATTTGTAATAATATTTCAACAAATATTATGTCACATAAATAAGAAATAGTAAATAAATTAAAATTGTGAAAGATTAAAATATAGTTATGCATCAAATAATTATAAATTAGATTAATTAAAAAAAATTAGAGTCAAATATAAGGAATTAAGTGAAATAAAGATGAATATATAAGCAATGTAAGTTAAATAAAATTGAAAATATTATTTTAAAATATAAATGACTGAAAACAAAAATATTAAATCAATATTAATTTAGACATTTGAATATTTTAAAAAGTTTGTAGTTATTTAAATGATTTTAATCAATAATAATAAATTACAATTTTATGCATGTAAAAAAACAAAAAAAAGGGAAAGAGAAAAATAGGAAAATAATTAAATTAAAATTGATTTTTCGTTTTATTTATGTAAAAAACTGTATTTAAAAGTAAAAATGATGATGATATTATTATTGTTATACAAATATTATTATCTTAAAATAACAAAAAAATATAATTAGAAAAATATTATTTGAAGGTACAAATTGTTTAATACTAAAATGATATTGTTTTTATTAAATTTGGTTGCTTATATTATAAATTTGAAGTTAATAGTTTACTTGTTTATATAGATTTTAGATGGCATCATCTTCGTCTCGTAGTAAGGTGTTAAATCCCGGCCCCGAAGATGGTTCATTACTGCGCTATCAGTCTATTCATGTTTCAGAGCATATTTGGGATGGTCGTGAACACCCAATATTGAGAGTGAGAAGAGGTCATTTCATACATGCTAGCATGGAGGGAGTACCAGTAGAGATTATTCCTCATTTGACAGTAGCAGGATTTGTTGGAGTAGCACAGTTGGCTAGTATTCCTATTGATCGCCAATTGATTACAGCGTTGGTAGAAAGATGGAGGTCAGAGACCCATACATTTCACATGCCCCCTGGAGAGTGTGCTATTACTATTCAAGACATTGCTATTCAGATGGGTCTTCGTATTGATGGAAGACCAGTTATTGCCCCTACAGGAGGTGACAGGGCACAAATTGTTGAAGATTTATTGGGAATTAGACCACCTAATTCTGCATTTATGGGGAGCAGCTTGAAACTTACTTGGTTGGATGAGCATTTTTCCCATGTTGGGTTGCACAACCAAAATCCCATTCAGCTAACTCGCTTTGCAAGAGCATATATTTTGAGACTTATTGGTGGGTTTATGTTAGCTGATCATTCTAGTAGCAGGGTCCCAGTTAGGTACCTTCCTTTACTTGAAGATTTAGAGATAACTAGACAATATAGTTGGGGAAGTGCAGCGTTAGCCTTCCTATACAGAGAGTTATGCATGTCCACGAATATTGATCGGTCTGGTATTGGAGGATTGACTCTACTTGTGATGCTATGGGCATGGGATAGGTTCCCATTTCTATCTCCGAGTGATCCCCCTTACACACAGAATGATCTTCCTTATGGTGCACGGTATGTCTATAATATTAAAACTTTCATTCAATATTTACACAACAGTATTTTATTACAAATAGTCATGGTAATATTTATGTTTTTATAGGTGGTTAAGATTTCAAAATTTTAGGAAGGGGGAAAGGATCTAGCTTACTTTAGGTTCAAATTTGATCATTTGAAACGTAATCAGGTATGCGTTATTTGTTTATGATATATGTTATCATCAATAAAATATTATTAATAATTACAATAATATTTTGTACACTTGCAGTTTGTGTGGCAACCATATAGTATAAATTTGATGCATACTTTGCCTGCCATATGCACTGAGGGCATGCATATATGGAGAGCTACTGTGCCGCTTATTTGTTTCCAAATATGTGAATGGCACCAGCCCGATCGTACCATGCGTCAATTTGGGATGGTACAACATATTCCTCATGCTCCTTATCAGCCAGACCAGCTACATGACATTACTCTTAGAGGGAAGACTACTGACAATTGGGAGTCAAAATTCAGGGGCGTACTAGAGCATTGGGACAGGAGATTAGATTGGGTTGTGAGTAATGAACCGCAAATTGGTCTACTGAGTTCGAACTCTGAATACATGCGGTGGTACCATACTCATACTAGACGGTGGATGAGCAGAGATGCTGCAGTGTTTGCATTACTTGTACGTATAGATCATTCTAGTAAACGATTTTGTTTGTTTAATAGAATCTAATCTCAATGTAATGGTTATGCAGGGAGATGCTCATGAGAGGGCCTATTACTTGTGTAATGATGGGAGGGACACATTTTCATTTGAGGAGATGAAGGATTTGTGTGAGACGATGTTAGCCTTGGAAAATGAGCAGGAACGTATCTTAGAGCCATCATCCTCATGTGATCCTCCTATCCAGAGTGGAAATCTAGATGAGCCTCAGATTGACATTGGTATTGGTGAACAACGTCGGGAAGGCAAAGGTTTGCAACGTCGGCGAACGTCATTTCAGGTATTGTTACCTTATGCTTCATTGGGTCATTTAACTTAAATTATAACACTTTATGTTTCATTTGAACATACTTATGTGTTTAAAATTGCAGGCCACAGATTTTACATTGCCCCCTTTGCCCGAACGAGGAGATGGTGTTTATTATGTCCCACCACCTTTTCCGTTTCAACAATTACAATGGACACAGTCATCTTATGTTCACTCATCACAGCAATCAAACGTCCCTCCTGCATCTCCATTTTTCAACGGTGAATTTTATGTTCCTGACGCTAGCCTTTTCATGACACCTCCTCCATATGAGCCTATGTTTTTCACACCGAGTGCACCTGGTGTAGGCACTCATCAAAGTGGATGTAGTGAGCAAACAACATCAATGGTACCTGTGCATGACCATGGAATTGATCTTAATGCTGAATTCATTGCAGCCTCAGATGCAGCAGGAGCTGATGTGAGACGTAACCCTCACCGTGGAGCGCGAGATCGTCATTGACAGTGCATTCTCACACCTCATGAGGAGGGACCTCACGAGCAGTCATTGAATTATGATTGACACTATGTTATGATACTGTATTTGAAAACTTTAGATGATGTTAATTAATGTTTGCTTTTGTTTAAATGCACGACTCATTTATAATTTGCCACATTCTACACATTCGACATCAAACAAGATTAATCAAACAACATACATTAATGACACAACATACCACAATAAGACAACATACATTAATAAAATCTACCACACTTTTTACAATCATACGGTACTAGTCATGATTAATGTTAGCATTGCTTTGTTGAGTACAATGACGTTGATTATGACCTGGTTCTCGACATAACCGACATCGTTGTCACGGTTGTGACTCAACCCAATCCATTTCATTTCTAATTCTACAAGCCTTTGGTCTTCCTTTACCTCGTGCTCTATCTTGATCAGGCAACAACTTCCATTCATCATTTTGTAAAATGTTTGCTTCATTTCCAAGCGGCCACCACTGAGATGAGTATGCGTTCACAACATATTGCAGAGTATATACAGGGTCAACATACTGCCAAAAGTCTATACTTACAGTAACACAAGCGGCTATGACATGTGAACAAGGGTATCGGTATGCCTGAAATTTGTCACATTCACATTCACGTGTAGATAATATCACACTCCACTTATGACCTCCCCTTTGTGTCATTAGATTAAAAGCCTCTTCAATCTCGAACCTTGTACTTTGTATGTCGTAACGACGAACCTGATGTGAAGATGCTTCTTGTTGATTTTTTTCTATAGCTTCAATTAATTTACGACAATACCTTTTACCATTGTTCATGTCATTGATTGCGCTTTCACCCCGTTTGACAAAATATTCGACCAATCTACTATAGGTTGCTTTCACAAGGGCAGTAATTGGGAGATTTCTTGCCCCTTTTAAAACTTTATTCACTGACTCAGACAAATTAGTCGTCATGTGACCATAACGTCGCCCTTCATGATCATAAGCCAAGCTCCACTTTTCCTTTGATATGTTGTCAATCCATGTTTGAACTTCAGGAGAATGCGAACGAAATTTATTAAGACCAGCTTCAAATCTTTACTTGCAAGGTGTATACGCTACATTTAAATAAGTTATACAGTTAATGGTGAAAAATAAATATATATTCATAGATAATGTAAAATGTAATAGTGATAACATACTTACCTAATTTCATAAGCATACTCTTCATTGCGGAATTTTTGAATCTTCTATTGAAATTGCTTGCAATGTGACGAATGCAATAAACATGGTAAGCATTAGGAGGTTGCCACCTAATATGTGGATTAGACATAGCACTTTTAATACTTTGATGGCGATCAGATATTAAATAAATTCCAGTTTTATCAGTAACATTTAGACGGATCATGGCTAAGAACCATTCCCATGCTGATAATGTTTCTCCTTCAACAATGGCAAATGCTATAGGAAGCACACTGTTATTGCCATCTTGAGTTGTAGCAATAAGCAATGTTTGCTTATACTTACCATACAAAAAGGTACCGTCTACCTGTATTATAGGCTTGCAAAACTTGAAGGCTTCACGACATTGCCTAAACGACCAAAATACTCGATGAAAGACTCTGAATCTATTATCCATTACATTACCTCTCACATAATCATTGGTCTCAATTTTGTAAACTGACCCTGGAGCATGTAATTGCATGTATTCTAACCATCTTGGTAATGTTGCATAAGATTCATCCCAATCACCAAATATTGTCACAATTGCTTTTTGCTTTACTTTCCATGCTTTTTTGTATGAAACTGAATACCCAAATTGGCCACTTATTCTCTCTTGGATTAATGAAACGGGAACAGAAGGTTCTTCTTTGACCATACCTGTCAATAAAATTAACAATACATCTCAGCTAATGATCATATCCAAATCATTTTAAATAGACAAATAAATATAATCTCAATTGAGTTTCACGTACCAATAATGCATGAACAAATAAAATTTGAATCTAACTTTTTGTGGTCTTGAGAAATCATAGTATTAACGCAGGTATGCAGACCACCCCATCTCGTAATTTTCCACTTATTTGAATTTTTGGGTAGCAATGCTCTTACTTTCCAAGGACACCCGGAAATATGATTCACACACTTGACAAAATGAGTTGATGCTTTTGACTCAACCACAAAAAATGTTTTATGTTTCTTCATTGCATAATGTTTTATCGCCATCTTTACCTCCTCTTTAGAGTCAAATAGTTGTCCAACATATAATGCATCTCCTTGTACCCATGATTGTGACGAATGCAACTCCGAAAAATCCAATTCTTGATCAGGATGTTCCCAATTAATAGCAGTGTAGTGTGAACTTATGTTCCAAAAAGGTGTTATAGAATCTGTATTAAACTCAAGAAATGTTAGTTAAAAATATTTTACAATTATTGTATTATATAAAATTATACCTGCATATTGTTCTTGCATAATGTTATTTCTTTCAGTGTTTGGAACTGTCATCATTGAATCGAAGCCATCTTCCAAATCAGTATCAGAAGAACTATCTAAAGGAATTTCTCCTTCATCTTCATAGTCATCATCGTACTCATCTTTGTCATCTTTAGATGCAGCAGCAAATATTTATTAATAAATTATACAATTTTAAACATCATATAATTTAAATAAATATTATACATTACCTCCTCCAATTGCATACTCTTCTTCATTGTCACTAACGGACACAGTTGGGAGTGATACATTTAAACATAACAAACTTTCACCTACATGAGAAGTTTCACCAACCGCAATATCCACATATAACTCAACTACTCTTTCATGCCGTTCTTGACAAGCACTTATCATACAGTCAATGTCTTCATCATCACATACATCTAAAATTGTGTAATTTCCACTCCTTGAATCAACTAAAATTCGTGAAATTAGTTTAGAAATTATATTACTATTGCACAATCTCAATTTTGTATGTATTTTTTTTTCAACATCTCAAAAGTAATTCCACGTTCTATTTTAATCATTTTCTTATTCCCTTCGAATATGATACCCTCATTTCCTTCGTACACTCTTCCATTCCAGTATAAAATAATCACAATTTCAGTCATCCTGTGTATCAAATTAAAAAATACAACCAAAATTATTACAAAATTTTACCTAAACAAATAGTAACAAAAATAATTACCACAACATTAAAATAATATATTTTTATATTTATATTTTTAATAATATTATATTAACATTAAATAAATTAAATTTATTACTACAAATATTTTTATTTTTATTTATTTATAATAATATTAAAATTATTAATTCAAATTTATTTACAATAATAAAAAAATTTAAAACAATAAATTAATAACATTCTAACCTTTTTCTTCCAGTAGAACAGCTCACAATTGCGGAACTCCTCTCCTCACAATTGCGAAATGCAGTAGCAGAATACACCTCGGCGTCTGCCTTTATATAATGCGTTTGGGAGAGATAGTGTCGGCATTCTTTCAGCCGATACACAAGTGTCGCATAAATTTAACCGACACACATGACTTTTGAGAGCGGTTCGAATTGAACCGCTCTCAAAAATCCATTTTAGAGAGCGGTTCGAATTGAACCGCTCTCAAAAGTCATTTAAGAGAGCGGTTCAATTGGAACCGCTCTCAAAAGTCATTTAAGAGAGCGGTTTCAGTAGTCGGGTCTGGCACCTGTGTCGGCATTCCTTCAGCCGATACTTGATCTTGTGTCGCCAACATTTTTTTCGACACTCACAAATCACCCTAGACAGGGAATTTTTTGTCAAACAACCCCATACGGATAAAATGTCTTTCATTTAACCCTAGGCAAAAATCCCTCTCTTTTCTAAAGTCTTTACTGTTTGCATCACTATATATATAAAGAAGGATCAATACCCATACCTTTTGGTGCGACTGAGGAGCAGCAGCTTATGGTGAATTGGTCTCCATTGGTGTTCTAAACCCAGAATTGAACAAGAAACTCAGTGCTCAAATTGCCTTCGTTCTTCAAACCAAATTGTCAGTGCCCAAGTCTCGATTCTACTTAAACTTGATAATACGACGGTTATTTGTTTATTTGTAGGGTTATAACTGTGGGTTGAACGGGTCCATCGTGGTGAAAGAAAAACGAAACCTCAGTTTATTATTCTGCTTAGTCTTTTATAAATTGATATCTAGAATTTAATATACGAATAATTTGAATTTGATCGTGTGAGTCTAATCTTATATATTCTGTCTGTAATCTTATATATAATATTTAACTTGTACCCTAATAGAAAAGTACATGCATTGTTATGATAAGAATATATGCAAATTTCATGAAATGGAGTTTGAACCTAAAACCCAACCCGATTTCCATCAATTCATATAATATTTGTTATATTGTCCTCATTATATTAATTATTTCACCCGTAAATTCCCATATCTAATTACCGATTGAGAAACTTTAACAACACTAATATAGGAAGATTAGCATGAAGTGGATAGAAACTTGTATTTTCTGGTTAAGAAGCATTGTGGTTAAATATAAATAAAACCCATTTTCAGCGATTTATATAACAGTAATAAATATAGAAAGAGAGAACCAAAACAATAGGAAAACAATCTATTTCCATCGTTCTTTCTTCTCTTTTCCCTCTTCCCTCTTCCAACCCTTTGATTTCCAATTAACGAGAAGCAGCATGGCCTCAACCACACCATCACCCGCACCCACGCCACCGCCACCGGTCCTTCCCATTACAAACCCCAATAGCAGCGAACCCGCAGCAGCCTCACCCGCATTCCGCGCGTTTGTGAGCTACGCATCGGAGTCCCTTCGTCACGCGCTATCGCAACGGCGTGCATGGTCAGAACTCACCGACCGCACCGCATTTTCAAAACCCTTGTCGTTCTCCGAAGCGACGCTACGCATTCGGCACAACGTGTCGTACTTCCGCATAAACTACTACGTCGTCGTTTCGCTAATTCTCGCCGTTTCGCTCCTCTCGAATCCCTTCTCTCTCTTCATGCTGGTGGCTCTCCTCGCTTCGTGGCTCTTCCTATACCTCCTTCGTCCGTCGGATCAGCCTCTGCATCTCTTTGGACGCACCTTCTCCGACTTCGAAACGCTCTCGCTCCTCGCTGCATTAACCACTTTTCTTCTGTTTCTGACATCGCTGGGCTCTCTCCTTGTGAACGCCGTCACGATCGCCGTCGCGGTGGTTGGAGCACATGCGGCGTTGAGAGTGCCGGAAGACTTGTTCATGGACGAGCGTGATGCTTCTCAGACCATCGGGATCTTCTCCATCCTCCGCGCCGCTGTTGCCGCCCCTCCCCCCGTCGTTCCCCGCTGAAGAAGCTTCTAGAACCTCAATTGTTCCATTTTTAAGTTGGTTTTTATGTTTGATGTATCCACATTATTAGTAGTAATTTTGCTAGAAACACCTTTATAAAATTTTTAAGGTGTTTTAAATTTTATTAAAACACACTTACTCTGTCAATCTGTATCAATTAAGTATTGGCAATTTTTTTCTTGGATATTTTTTTTGTTACAATTTCTTTGGAAGTAAGCCTTTTTTTTTTTTTTTTCATTTTGGGTTGAGGAAAATTTAATTGTTTGGCTTAAATATATTTTTGGTTACTCAAAGTAAAGTGTATTTTGAGTTTTTTTTTTATAATTTGTACATCTTTGAAAGTTATTGCTTTAAATTTATAATCATTATTATTTTTTTAATCTAAATCACTAATATTTCCAATTAAAATAATTACTTGAAGTCAAAATAGAACTACATATTAATTAGCACATATTAATTTGTGTCACGGAATAAATTAATAAAAAAATATAGTATAATATAGTTTAGGGAATTAAAATTATATTTAAATTCAATTATTATTTCCTAAGTGATAGTTTTGTAGTCTACGTTATTCTTTGAATAATTTCTAATGTGTCTTATAATTAAAAAAATACTTAATACATTTTTATACGGGAAATAATTATCATTATTGATTTTAATTTAAATATATAAATAAATAATAAATATTAACAATATATTTAAAAAATATAAATTTTTTTAATTTAAAAAATTACAACTGTCAAATTCAAATAAATATTAAAAATTCTATCTCAAATTTACTAGCACTGGCATTCATTTATCCTTTATTTATTTTTTCAATTCCTCCGCTCGTTGCTTAAAGTGATTTTGGTTCTCGAAGGAACATCTCGTTTTTGTTTGATTTGGCAATGCAAATTCTGAATGGGCTTGAATAAGAAACCCATGGCCACTTTTGGTAGGTTGAATGTTTACGGAAATTTCACGACCCAAATGAAATGCTTAAGGCAACATTGCACAACCATGATTAGTGATTGGGTTGTGTTGACCAAAGAAAAACAAGTTAATAATTGTGGCTTGAGACTGGCAATTACAATGTTTATAAATCTAATGAATTAAAAGCCTAAGATAATATTAAAATATCTTCAGTATGGGCTTTAAACATGAACTTTAATTTGTTGTTGTTTTAATAAATCTTGAGCTTTTAACTAATTATACTTATATTCATACACGAATTGTTTGGTATTGTCAGCGAAAAATACAAAGTATATCCAAAGCATATGTGAGAACCCTGACTGAATAGATTTCCTTTGACAAGGAGAGTTTTCGTTTAGCAACGAGCAACCCCGATAAAGCAACTCAATCTTAGGAATGCGAAATCATGATTGTTTTTCGGTTTATCATTCAGAATCACAATACTAGACTACTAGTGCATCATATCATAAGTCTATATATTTCTTAATGAATCTAACTGTTTCGGGTTTTCTTATATATTCTCAGTATTTTATCAATAACAGATAAGGAACCTAATTATCACGGCAAATTTCTGAAACTAGTAGAGAACATATACACGATTTGGCTCTCTGTATAAAAAGAGTCATGCAGTTAACAAAATTTACAACTAGCGTTGATATATATATATATATATATATCTATGGAGCTAATATTGCTGAATTATAGCTAGCTGTAAAAATCCAATGATCGTGGTTCATTCTGATAATTATATTGCTACTCATAATGGCAACAAAAGTTCATATTGCTAGTGAAAAAATGTATATTGTTATGTTAAATAGAGTTCTTTATTCTTTGGTTCTTTGGATGACTTGTGCACAGCTAGTGAGCAAAGTTCGTTGTTATGAAAATTTGTATTTTTTGAAGACCCTTCTAGCCACCGGAAAAATCGTGATAATTTAATTTACATTTTTCCCTCATTTTTTCCATGCCTTTTCTTAAATAGAATTTACAACCAATGCCATTCCAGAGGAAAATCCGAGAGCCAAGAAACTTTTTATTAATCAATAATATACAATAGGAAATAAACAAATAGGAAAACAATATTACATGAATTTTGGTTACGAAAAAGTAGAAACAAATTATTAATCTACACGAATAATCAAATGCAAATTCTCATATTTAACACCCCACGAAAAAGCAGCAAATACAGCTTCAAGTTACTTGGATGAAGCTTCATTCTTCTTGTCAGAGAGGTACCTATTCATAGTAAAATAAAATACGCATAAATTGATGCCTAGACATGAAAAGCATAGTTTTTAGTGTGCTAAGCTAAGCTAAAGCAACGTACCCATTCCCCTTTGCCCAACGGGAGAGTTGACGTAATTGTACGGCCTCATTGGATGCATGGCAAGAAAGTAATAGGTAGTTTCGTGGTTGTACCATCCATGCAAATCTCATGAACAATACTGAATAGACACACATCACTGCAGCACCAACACAAAGATAAGACAGGAAAATAAAAATAAAATTACTTAGCCACTTAGAATGTGTGCTATATTGTTGAGAACATTCCAAGTTAACACAGATTTTCCACCTGCTGTCATGTTGCCTGAGATCATTTCTGGTGGTTTATTCATATCCATCAACCCCTGAAAACAAACATACCACATATTTAATTGTATGATAATATGTTGCACGGATGTGGATACAAGTGTGGGCTTGATATATCTAATTTTTAAATATGTTAATTTTTTAAAAATATGGATGGTAAAAGTATATTAAGCAAACTATATTTTTTGTATAAATTCCTTATGTTTTGTTAATTTATTTTCTATACTTTAAATATCTCTAATACTTATATTAATTTGTCATCATTATTGTATTACTATTCATCTGTAATCTCTAGAAAATTTTATTGAAAAAGCATAAGCATGATCAAATTTAAACAAAAATGTTATATTAAGTTATAATACTAATCTCTTTGTTATCCAATAAAAAAATGTATGTTAATGGTAATGCAATCAAAGTTTAACATGGAGACAGTCGCGTATTGTGCAATGTGTGTGTAAAAGAGTAAAAGGAGTGTAACCTACGGCAGCAACGAAACCCCAATTGGCAACAGGTCCCCAAAAATGTGTTGTTTTTGGACCAACTGGGCTGTTCCCAAATGCTCGCAAATTTGAAGCCATTTGTTAATATTGTTGCTTAAGCACCTCTGATTTTCAACATAAAACATAAGTTAGATGATTGGATACAGTTGTTAAGACATTTCTTTTCCAAAATTAAATCAGACTCACGTAATAAAATTATAATAATAGTTATAACATCAAATCTCTTTTTTTTCTTCTTTTTGATATCAGAAAACTTCAAATACTGTCACACAATCAGCAAGCAAACAATTTTGGTATGATGAGCAGGGGAAGCATGGCCTTTTAAATTGAATGATCCTTTCCCTTAAGTGAAGTTACCATGACTTGAAATTCAAGTTAATTCCTATTCAGAGCATTTTCTTACTTCTATTAACATTGAAAAATAAACATACAATGATTAAAAAAATTACAGCTCTTCTATGTGCTTTATCACTGGATTCATGCAATTCTCAGTAACAGTATTGCCCATAAACAAGTGCCCCATGTAATTATGTAAATTAAGCATGCTTTTAAGTATGATCAACGACAAATTCACATCAACCGCGTAACCACTAGTTGACCAAACACGGACTCAAATTTCAACATTGCCAAAGACAAAAAAACTTATCCTGCTACAACCAATTTAACTTCATCCAAATTGCATCGTGTTTACAACACAAACTTTTGTCGTTGCATGTTATCACAACATTTGCATGAAACGCAGTCACATTTGACATGCCATGTGAAGATCATAAGCTTAACTTTATGCCCTGAGAAAAAAAAATAGCATAAAGACCAATTATCTATGATTTGGCCATTGATCATGAGACTAACAAATGAAAAAAATAAAATAGTAAACATTCCCAATCAGTAAAATATTGTGAATAAAATGGTACAAAGATAAATAAATATAAAGAAGACTCAAAACCCAATACAAAGACAATGTTCACAACCACACCTATTGTGTTGATGGGAACAATTGCGTGATCAGTAACATAGAAGACAGGAACTTCACCTTATGGTTAAGGTTGGAACTAGATTGTGTTGAGAATGGGAAAAGGAACACACAGAAAGATAAAAGTTCGGCAGAGACATAGCACGTGTGGACCCAGTCAACTAATCCCTTTTTGTTGAATGGATAGGAAAGGTAGTAGGAGTAGGGAGGCGTGTATAAGAACAAGGTTCACCAATCATCTTCATTTGTTTTTTCTTTGTTCAAATCATCTTCAAATTCAATCAACACAAGAAGGTGGTCATGGCCATGATGGGCTTCAACTTTTAGGGCCTGTAGTCATGGACTACATGGTTTAGGCCCACACAGATGAATGATAATTGCTTCTGACCCACATGAAGTTTCAAGGTTCACTTGATATTGCTATCCACTGCCTCTAATATTTTTCTGTTAGTAAAACTAGTTGAATGTAGTGGACCAACAAAAAAAAAAACACTATTTGAATGTAAACATGCTAGTATTTCAATTAACACATAATTTATATAACTAAAAATAATTATTATGATGATTGCTGAATTAAATTTCATAACAGTACAGGTAACGATAGAATTACCTAACGTTTCTCAGAATTTTTATCGAGTGGAACAAAAACCATGATATTGGAATAGAATGAGAAATAGTCATGTGCATATTAATCACTCTCTGACATTGATTAATAATAATAATAGTCGTTGACAAATTATTCAGCGATAATCGTTAACAGCACATATCAGACTATGAATTACTTACACAACACACAGAGAAAAAAAGACTACAAATTCCTCATTGATTAATGTTAATTGCTTAACGTTTGATGACAGCCACTAATTAACTAACAAGAGAAAAGAGTACATACTGCAAACCTAACTTAATTATCTGCAGTGGACAAGTCAGAGTTCCTAATTACTTAGAGTATGCTATTTAATTGTTTTAAATGAACATCGTAAAGTAAATAATGATTAAGATTCTCAAATTTATTAAAAAATATTAATATTATTTTATAGATATATAAGATATAAATAATATTAAAAATTCTAAATATTATCACACAAATATTATTCATATTTCACAAGTAATATAGAGTATAGCTAAAAAATTCAATTTTCAATTTAATTATGTAAATTAGATTATAAAATAATTTGAATGTACACAATTTATTAATACATTAATGAAATATAAAATTGTATTTATTAGCAAAATAAAAAAGAGATATAAAATTGTAATATCTTTCATTTAAAACAACTTTATAATATAGTTAATTTAACATTATTACTTTACTCAATTATATTTTTTTGTTATCCAATTTTTAATTAATTTCGTTCATCACAAGAATTCAAACACTAGTACCGAACATGCAACAGCATTAAATGAATTCTTAAATCAAATGGTAAAATAAAATAAATCTTAAAACAAAGATAAACAACATGTGCTAGGGTTAAAAATATAGGGCAAATAGAGATAGATAAAGAAAGAGTTTTTCTATATCTTCTACAATTTTTTAATAATTCACCTATTACTTTATTAAATTAAATAAAAGAGTATTTATTATTTTAAAGATATAAAATGATTAAATATTTAAATTATTTAATAATTAAGAAAATTGGTAAAAAATAAAAAAAATTAAAAATAGTGTTGAATGAAGGGAACAGTGGGAGAGGAAGAAGCAAGAGGACCAAATAGAAAAGGAGCCCTTCATGATGAAGAAAGCTCTTGCGAGTTGCCACCATGAAGCAAGTACTGCCACGTGTCACAACCCTACCAGCTCATAAGCCAAACCATAGGAATCTGAAAAAGTGCCACGTCATCATGCCTATCCAAATTGTAGGCTTTCACATTTCCCTCGTCCAAATGCAAAATGAACTCTTCAACTTTTTCTTAGACAACAAGTCAAGAATGACGTTTGTAATGACAACACCACGTTCCGAACAAAGATCCATCCCATAAAAAACAAACCCAAAACCCTTCTAAAACCCTCGAACACAAACTGCATAACTGAACACAACTCACACAACAACATCCACAAGGATCCAAACTACATGAATGCTTCTTCATTAGCAAAACGCGTATGAAGACTAATAATCTCGTTTCTGGGTCAGTTACTTTTTTCTTAATCTCAAACTGTCTATAGTTCCATGCCCTTGTTACTGTTTAATTAATTTTCTATTCTTTCATTTGATTCAAACTGCATCTGAGTTTTATTTTATTTTTTTATGTTCCTTCTTATGATCAATTTTGGTGGTTGTTTCATTAGCTTTCTATGCTTTTCTTATGTTTCTATATGTATGCATGTATATTTTTTATTTTGATAACTTTTCTGATGATTTATTGAAGGAACTGAGTTGAAAGTTGACAAAAAGTTTTTTTTTTTTTTTTCGGCTATTTGGAATGGCTACAGGGACAGGAAATCACGCAAGAGACGCAGTGGTGGAACTGATTCAGTGGAAGATACTCTTGAAAAGTGGAAGGAGTATAATAGGCAGCAACAACTTGGTTCTAGAGAAAATGGGGTGGAAGCGATTCACAAAGTTCCGGCAAAAGGGTCAAGAAAAGGGTGCATGAGAGGCAAAGGAGGGCCTCAGAATTCTGATTGCAAGTTCAGAGGCGTGAGACAGAGGATTTGGGGCAAATGGGTTGCTGAAATTCGCGAACCTATCAATGGAAAGCTCGTGGGTGAGAAAGCAAATAGACTTTGGCTTGGTACTTTCGCTACTGCACTTGAAGCTGCTCTTGCTTATGATGAAGCAGCTAAGGCTATGTATGGCCCTTATGCGCGGTTGAACTTTCCTGAGCCTTCTGTGGAGTCAATAGGCTCTAATGGATCATCATCTAGTGGATGTGATAAAAAATCAACAAGTGGTTCTGCTGACACGTTGAATGGTGGTGATCTTGCAAAAGCTGAGGAGTTGGAGGCGAATCTTCATCGGTCACATGAAGACAAACTCGGGTTTTCTGAGGTTGGTGTCCTTGAGGAAACAGAAGAGAAACCTGTTTTTTCTAAAGCTTGTGTGGCTGGTGACTCAACGGAGCAGTCCAAGGAAATGAAAATTGGCTTTGTTCAATGTCAAACAAGTGTAACTTTGAAGAATGTTGAGCCTGAAATACCTGGAGAAAATGGAGGAATAGAGAAAGGATTAGAAGAGGTTCTGAAAAACTCTGGCATAAGTGGAGAGGGTAATCAAGTGCAGAAGAAGCCTATGACTATAGAAATGAATACTAGAGATGACTATTGTAGATCTTCTGATGCTACTGAACAAGAGATTGTGGTGAAGTGTGAAGAACAAACAGAAGAATCAGTTGAAACTATGAAATCTTGTGAGTTGAGCTGCAGCAACCATTGCCTTGGATATATCCATAATAAGATTTCAGATACCAATCCAAGACCAAATTCTGAGCATTTTGATATCATCCAAACTGAGGCATCCATTGCAAAGAAACACACCGAGGAAGTAATTTCTGAAATCCTGGAACTTTGTAGCAGCAAGTGCTCAAAGATTAGACATGTCGAATCACAAAATGAGAAATATAAAAATGGACATTTTGATGAGATGAAAGCTAAGCTAACGGGCTTGGAATACAAGCTGAGAGCACATTCTATTGGTTGCAAGAATGAATCACCTTCCAATCATTCCATGCAGGGAATTCATCTATTTGGTGGTGGCAGTGTTGGACTTGAACCAATTGAAAGAATGTCTGAAGTTGAGGATTTGAACATCAATTCAAGTAAAAACTCTAAATTGCTAGAGAAAGGAAATAATGGAAGTGCATTACCTGGATTTAATTCAGGGCAGAGTAGGAAGCTGTGTGATCTTTCTCAACAGTTGCACAAACTGGGTGGTTACTTACCTGAATATTGGAATAATATGCAGTTTGCGGAATTGGATGGTGGTAATGATTATAGTTTCTTGAGTCCTGACTATGATTTTGGCTTATTGGAAGAGCAGAAGTTACTTGATATATGCTTTCCACATAGAGGATCTTAGTAGTTAGTATTGTTAAAGGCTTATAATGTATGTTTTTCGCTTTGGTGCGGTTATCATAGCAGCATGTTTTTTTTCCCCACCTTAGTGATTCAATAAGGCTATGTTTCTGTTCTCTTTTCAACATCTCAATCACCATAGAATACTTTGTAGTAAGAAATTTGTATCAAATTATAAATGTTGCAGTACGATGGTTACGCCTTTCATATACGGTCAACTGCAATCGCTATCATATAATCTTAAACCCAGATTTCCACATATATTTTACTTGCCACTTGCTAAAATGTCATTATCAGTATTTGATATCCTAATATGCACGCTTTTAATGTTTTTGGGCTACGAAAATGCACATATTTGTTCAAGTGTAACACTTTGTTTTCTAAAGTAATAATTTTATTGTGTCTTTTTTCCACACGGTTAGTTTCTCCATCTAATTTAAAACAATTCTGAATGCTGGATTGGCTCAATGGATAGCTTTGAAAAATTTCTGTAACACAGCCTTGAACTGATCTTTTTTTTTAATGGTTATTCTTTTCTAATGCAAAATTAGAAGGATAAATTACATTTGCACCTCTTCATGTTTAACAAAATTTTATAAAATATCTTTCTGTATATTAATTTGACTACCTTTAATTCATATAACTGTACAAAAAATTAGGAGTGATTTGTATAATTAAAAATAATATACATTATGTTATTACATAAATTAAAATTTTATTAAACCAAGGTACTGATGTAATTTTTCCAAGCTACCCCGGGGTTCAAGCTGGAATGCCATTCAGGTGTTGCATCGGTGGGAAACAGCTGGCTTGATCTTCTTGATGTATGCCAAAGATCCTCGTTTAAGTTCAAGTGTAATAATGGAGTGATATAATAGGGGCAGTGATGTATGTTTGCTCTTATTAGTTTGATGGTCATAACCGGATACAACCTTTTAAAACAAATTATAGTTTTTTTTTCTTTTGTTATCTAGTGTCTCTAATATTTATTTATTTTTAAAACAAATTAAATATAGAAATTCCAGTATTGCGATTAGTATGTAATCTTATATAATTAAATTTAAACATGGTGATTATTGAATTAAATTTCAGAATTAGTACAGGAAATGGTAGAGCGCAACAAAAAGCATGATATTGGAAAAGAATGAGAATCGACGTCTATTAAATTAGAAAACATGTTTACAAATAAATTAAAAATGACTATTAAGTAGTATTTAACATAAAAATTGAAAATTATTGAAAAGAAAATTCTAAATTTTAATTAGAGAGAAGAGACAATTAATTTTATGAGATAGTTAAAATCATATTTAATGCAATATTAGGGACAATATTGATCACTTCAAAATAAGTAATAATAGTCATTTACTTAATATCCTCTCACTGGCATTGATTAATAATAAATAATAGTCGTTTACAAATTAATCATACGTAAGTGATTAATAAGTCAGAGTACCTAATTCTCACATGCCCTGCCTTTTAAAATGAAAATATACAAACTTACACAAAATTTCCTAATAAATATAATTTTCCAACAAAAGCCAGAAGGCGTGGCTTCTATGCTGAAGGGTGGATCATTCAATAATTTTCTCCCTCGCTGTTCTATTGGCCATTCAAACTCTCTCTACTTGTACCGGCAAGATTTTGGCAATTGCTTTGCAGCAATAGCTGCAACAGTCTAATAATTTACTATAGTCCTGCATTGCTACTGGATTATCTTCAATTGCAGAGATATAGTGTCCACATATTAGAGCTCTTGGGAATCATGTTCTAACCATCTTGAAAATGGCTTTTAACCTGATAGGTGAAAGTTGGAACTTCTGAGTACTGAATACATGAATTTGAATGCCTGTTAGTCTCCTGCTCCATCATACCAGATTGTATCCCAAGGTCCACTTTTGCTGCTCAACCTTAAAAATAAGAAAATAAAAAGCATTAGCTCAACAAAAAATCTTAAGAAGAAAATTTTGCTCATGTTATCCTAAGAATACTCTACCCCCTCCCCCTCTCAAAAGTGAGATAGGAGACAGAGAGAGAATAGAGAAATAATGACAGCAATGCCAAATCGCATTCAATCCACACAACCTGTATCATTTTTGTCATAATACCCAACAGTTTCCCAACTATCACAATTAAAATGAAATAAAATATTTTACCTCCAAACTCCAGCTAGAACACGCAAAGCCATGAAGATAAACAATCCTGTCCAGACTCCAGGAAGCCCAAGTTTTGGAGCAGCCACCAGAAGGAAAGTTGAAGAAACTAGTCCAACTAGCACCTACCCATAGCAAAAGAAAGGAAATGCCTTAAAGAGGAAACAACCATTTGGAATGTTTAGCTATCTTTCAATCATTGGACTAGGTAAATACCATTGAGTAAGCAGCATATCCAAAGTCTGATACGCCATAATAAATCCCATCAATAACAAATGCCAAAGCATTCACTGGTTGAGATCCAGCAACAAACTGCACATATAATGATGCAAGTAAGTTTCAGATATTTCAAATGACATTACTATGTATACATGCTTCCACAGATAGAATGGAGAGTAGTATTCGTACTACATGTAATGAATATTTATTAGTTCCAATAGCATGGCTTAAATACCCATCAAGCACAAAAGTTCAGATACTGTCTAAAATCATTAGCTTTCTATCTATTCATCCATATTAGAGGAAAAACAGTCTAAAATAAATTCAATATAAACACATCCAAATGAATTTTACTTCAACTTGTAGCCAGGCAATAATCATTTATATGATCAATATTGTCTATTCAAACTTTCTGTAACAAATAAATAATTCAGCAGAAAATATCAAAATGACCTAAGGTTTTACATTCACCATAACCAAGTAACTTTACAAGATAAATAGTTCATGGTGCACCATTTTTAAAGGGAAGAGAGAGAAAGAGAGAGTTGCACTCTTCTACTTTCTTGAACCAACTCCTTCCCCGGTAAATACACTGTAATGATTTTTTTTTCAACTATAACGATTTCTAAATGAAGTTGTTAATTATGAACTTCCCCTTTTCACAGACTGATTGCCTGATTCTTTAAGTCAATCCAAATTAACTAGGGAGTGGGTGAAGCCTACAATATGATAATAAAGGTACTTTTCTGCAAATAATTGTGCTTTCTTACCAATATACCTGACTGAGCAACATCCAGAACTTCTGAATCTGAGCTAAATAAACTAGAAAATGCTTCAAACCCAATGAATAAGATCATAGACAAAGTGATTCCTGCTCCTAAACCAATCTGCTTAACATGTAAAAGAGAGCAGGAGGAGAAAGGAATTCTGGATCAGAATGGGTTACAATCTCATTAAAAGAAGGTATGAATGAAGAAGCAGTCTATGGGGACAACAAGCAATAACCTGTATCACTCTATATATAACAAGGCGTGCTTGCCCATAATTTCCCTGAGAGTAGCTACTGGCAAGGAGTGCCTGTAAAAAAAAAAAATGTCATTTAAACATGAAAAAGTAAGTTTCAACCAAATAAATTTCAATCACCAAATAATTTTCAAGAAGTTTGTTTGTGTCATATCTTCAAATAATCTGAATTACACAAATGAAAGAATTTATCTGTATCTGACTACACAGTCAATTCTTTCAATACTTACTGTATGTGGGGGTTGGGGGCGGAGGATATAGTGGAATATTGGAGTTCTTGCTAATACCATTTCAGTAGCTTGGGAAATGTAAGAATATCAACCTTTTCATGCAAAATAGAATGGGCCCCAATTTGCTTGATTTCATGGTCAGGGAAAGCTCCCAAATGTTGACCATAATACAAGTACAACAACAAAGAAACCTCATCCCACCAATGATAAAATCTTATTCTTCTGAATTCATGTGGAAACTGGACGAGTTACACTTCCCATGAGATATGTATTGATCATTTGATCTGGTGTAGCATTGGTATATATCTAATATTTAAACAAAATGCAATTTCTAGTCCAATGCAATTGTATTATCTAACCTGACCAGCAAGCGCCAGAGCATCTGTGAGTAAAGAAACAGACAACCAAACTTGCATGCATATTTGATGACCTGCCATAAGTATAGGGCCCTGCTTAGCTGCGGCTGATGTTGACAGTGTTATAGTTGTAAACACAGCCAAAGTCCTGGCAGTAAGAAGACCACCTATAAAATGCAATAGTTAAAAGGTAAATATTAATCCACGCTACTCCTTAACTCACATCTGTCAAGTCATATTTCATTACTATAAAAATATATAAACATAGGTTGCTAACCAAACAAAACATTTTCAAGCTAATGAAAATCATATTTCATTACTAAAAGTTATATAAACATATATTACATATATGAACAAACAGAAGTCCTGTCAAAAGTACAAAAGTACAAATACCACCAACTTCATTTTTAAGAGGCAATGTAATTGTGATATCCTTTGAAATGGATTCCATTCAATAAAATTATTTTTCTTTTAAAATCAGCCAAACACCTCTGATTCTATCATCAATAGATTTCTAAGACACTACAGATGTTGAAAGTGGGTTTGAGAAAAAAAAATCAATTTAATTAAGGCATATTTAATATTATGGACTGCAACCTAATAAATAAGATCTTCAAGAAATATGTTAATGAACAAAAAAATGTCAGTTTCTAAAAACTTTCATTCCAACTGACAAGTTATTAAACAGTGTTAGAGATGTTATATAAAACCATTTGTGTCTTCACTCTTCACCTAATAAGCTGCTGGGATAGTTGGTTCATAACATCATATTAGAGCCTCTATATTTGATTCTTCGCACCCTCACTCTTCGAATAAAAAATTGAATTTCATTGAAAGATAGGTGGGTCTGTGCATTAGCCAGTTCAAGACAAACAGTAAAATCCAATTTGAATAAAAAGTCTCTCCAAGAGTTTCAGACGAGATAGAATTAAATGCAAAATCAATAGAGAATACACTTTTAAGCATAAAATCAACAGAAACCAAAATTCTATGTGATCCACAAAGCCAAATGCTATATTCAAATTTAGTTTATTAGTTCTATAGATAAGGCATTTTTAAGATACTAAGTGAGTTAATTTGCGATCCACACAACTGTGCACAGATGGAGTATTTTCTATGAAAATGACATAATGAAGAAACTAGTAACATCTTTCCAGTCTATTCTGATTGTTTCATTATTATTACCAATTTTCTTTGAGGGGAAAGGACAGCCAAAGAAACAATTCAACTTATGAAAGACATACCAGATTTCAGATAGCTGAAAACTTTTCGCCCATCAAAGTCAAAAGGAATTAGCAGCACTTTGCTACTCAATTTCCATAGCAGAATGAAAGCTATTAGATATCTGGTGCACCAAAACAGACAAATTTTGTTAAAAGCACACCATATGTATTAAGGGACATGTGCAAAATGCACACAAAACACCAAGTTTATTACATCACTGACGTACTCAGAGATCACAGTAGCAACTGCAGCACCACTAACGCCGAAACCAAAAAAAAATATTAATATAGGATCCAATATGGCATTAAGAAAGTTTCCAGCACCTGACATTCAAAGACAAGCCTTTGTTATCTACACATCCAGCATATCCTTTACCTAGACATGAACTTTATTTCTTCACATCAACACTGGCAGGGCTCCATAGAGCATTTGCCAAAGTATAAACAAGTAAAAACAGGAAGCTGACAGCCCATAGAGCCAAATTACATTGAGATATTATATAAATTAGCTTGGTATTGGGCATTTGGAAGAGCTTAAGACGACTGACAAAACTTCTTGATATCAAAATAAGTTCTTCTAAAATTATTACAGTAAGTTTCATGGTTAAATTTGTGGCATAAGTCATGTAAACAAAGCCTATTGAATAAATGCTTAAATGAGCTGTTATCTAAACATACCCAGAACCAATATGGAAATCACAAATATAGCTAAGAAAGCAAACATTCACAGAAATTGGTACAGGAGCTACTTCCTCTTCTATGCAAAAAAAAAAAACTTAAAATGAAGAAAATGTGAAAATTTGCTAGTAGCTATTTTCTTCCCAATTTGTTCATTATTCTTTATCATAGCATTATTTTGATCCAGCATTTCATATAGTAGTCCAAAGGGGCCTTTACCATGAAATAAGATTGTTTAAATGATCCAGTAGTCAACTAAGTTATGCATCAATATAAACTGTAGATAAAGGACACACATTTAGATTATGGTTTCAGCAATTAAAGCAATCAGGCAATTCCCATTACATATTTACCATGGATCATCTCTGCCAACGGATACTTGGTTGTATTTAAAAATTTTGAATTATGCAAACTTTGTCTCTGTTCTTGAATCAAAAAGGCATGTTTAAGTGTTAATTTCTCGTCAAACTGAACTATTTCTAAGGTCTGTGCCATTCTAAATAAAAAATAAAAAGTTTATGTATTGTTGCCGATTAAAATTAGTGAGAAAGTATTCTGGTAAAAGAGTATTTGTCTCTATTTCAATTGATGAAACATACAAGTAAAGAGAGAGACTGAGTGTGAGAGAGGAAGCTGCTAAAATACTTGCCAACAGCATATAAAGGCGTCTTTGTATCCAAAAACCCACGAAAAGTGCCTTGTGCAGCTAATGCAATCACGATTGGTGGAGCACCAAAGGCCCTCAATGTAAGAAACTGCTCAGCAGGTCCACGCATGGGAGAATCCTGAGCAGCATATAAAATGGAATAAATGATGCAAACCAGATCTCTACTAAGTGTAAGATCATGCAAGGAAAATCCAATTATTCAAAACCAAGTGCCCAAGAAGAGCAGGAAACAAAAATGCTTTTCTTTTTCATTTTCATGACCCCAAACTAACAAAAAAGCAACAGAAGACCAGGATATATAAATTTTCTTGCTGTGCATAACAGAACCAGAGGACTGATAGTTGATGAATGCAAAGCAAAACTGTAAATTTATATTGCTAATATGTTTCTCAAATTGATTGCAAAATGTATAATTAACGTTAGACTACAAATAGAATGCAAATGGTGCTTAAATTTTCCAAATTGTTATAGAACTTAAATTAGGCATAAGAGCCTTCCCCAACACATTTCATATGTCAATTTAAAGCTCGATTATAATAAAACATAATTTTACATATGAAATTCAGTTTTTATTTTTTCCAATATTTATGATGATTCATTAAAACAATTATACACCACTACAAAGCATAAAATAACAGAGTATGACAAAAAAAAAGGTGTTGTTTGCAATTATACAACATAAAACAAGTTTATAAGTAATTAGTTACAAGTTTAAGAGCAAAACTTATATTTAAGTTCATAACATTAGCTGAAAATTGGTTTCAATTAAGATAGATTTTTCATGATAGCTCTATCTTGCCACAGATTTGTACAAAGACTTTTAGATCTAATCCTGAGTAAATGATTGTGCTTCTCTATTTTCCCCCCTTTATTTGTGTTGGGTGGGTGTAGCAAAGTACAACACAATCAGAAGAAAATATAACAACAAACATACTATCACTTATATGAGGTGATGTATGGATCAATAATTAGCCAAGTTTGACATACAGCAGGTATACCCATGATATTCATAAGAATGCCAGAGCAAAGGGAAAGCGCCACAGTTTCAGCAATTCCAAGAGTTGCTGCAAGTGCTAAAGAAGTTGATACTGAAGGAAGGAGCTTCTTGCCTTGGTAATTTCCTGGGAAATCATGATAACACCCACGAGATCAAAACTCTCAGTAGATACATCTGAACAAGAAAATATACAACCATGTCCAGAAAAACTAGACATCCTACTAAAACTGTGATACCTTTGTTGAAAACGTACCATTTTCATCACTTCGATTGGAATCCTCCTCCTTGCTAATTAGTGCCTGCTCCTCCGCAACAAATGATGTAGTAATATTAAGTAAAGGAACATTGAATACTTTTGACACTAGATTAAATACAGAAGCTGAAACCCCAACTGCAGCCAATTCAACTGCCCCTGCATAGAGAAATCTGATTAAGGGAGAATACTATTACAACAACGACCATTTATCAGTATAATTCAAAACAAACAGAAACAGAGAAAAGTCAATACTTGCTATCATCATCATCAACAACAACATCGAGAAACAAGCAGCAAACTATGCAATTATAATGATTAAGGTGTGATTTTTGAGAAAATGTTTTCTATTTTTACTAATAATTATAAAAATACCACCTTGTTTTTTTTTACTGTCTCCAGATTTAATGATTTGTACAAGAAATGGTGAAAATAATATTTTATTGTTTTTTTCCCACCATTTTATGTATAAATCTTTTAAAATAGGAAGGTAAAAAACAATGTGGCATTTTTGTATATTTCCTCAAGCCCAACAGACCCTTAGCTTTCAAATTCAGAATAAAATCTGCAGCCAGATAATAACAATTCTTTTTCACTTCCTCAAGTTAAATTAAAAGTTAAAACTCAAATCATAATATTCATTTTCACAGAAGTACCTATGTGGCCAACGAACGCTGTGTCAATCAATGAGGCAATAGGATCAGCTGCCAAAGCCAAAGCAGCAGGCAAGGCAATGAGTACTATCTCCATCCCAAGTTCATCAAATTTAAGCCACCCATTTCTGTTCAAGTCCCAACAAACAAACTTCAAAGTAAACAAATAGTCATAAACAATTGAATCAATTTCAGAATCCCAATCAAGCATAAAATAAAATTCAAACAAAGTATAGACAACAAATTCATCAAATTAAGCCACTCATTACAAACAAATACATAAAAACCCTTAAATCAAATTCAAAATTTAACTCCAAACAAATCATACAAAAAAAAAATCTAAAAGGAACTCAAAAATCAAAGAATACCTGAAAGGACGAAACAGAGAAGAGGGATTAAAAGGAGGTCTAGGCGAAGAGGGTCGTGGTGACGGAGTTTCAACAGAATCAGTGTTGGCATTCTTGTTTTGAGAAGCTTTCGGTGAAACTCGAACTTGAAAACGAGAAAAGCAACGAGGTTTCGAGCTAAGTGTTGGAGATTTCAAAGAGTGTGTGCAAAGAAAACACGTAGAGAGAGAAGACGCCATTCTCAATTTGGTGCATCAGAATCAGAATGAGAATGGAAAGATCAAACAGAACATAACCATATCTTTCACTTTTATTTTTATTTTGGTTTCAACATTAACGGTTATATGAATTTGTTATTTTTTTGGTCAGAAAAAATATAATATTAAATATCTATGTAGGTGGGGTCACGACCTGTTCTCATTAGGAAATTTAGGGTCACGTGTTAATTTTTTAAGGGAAAGTACAACAACCGAATGGAGATGTACTACAATATTTCCTTTTAATTTTGAAAAAATGGTGTCCACTAATATTAAAACAATTAATATTTTTAAAAATTAATTTATTTGATAACATTGTTTTCAAATTTAGTTTTAAAAAATAATTTTATTTTTAAAATTTAAATATATATGTTTTAAAATATTTTATGAACTGTACACCTAAATCAATTTTATTTAATTAAAAGTTCATTTTAATATTTTATCATGTATCATTGAATAAAATGTAATTTATATAAATATATTTTATAATTTTATTTTATAATATAGAAGAAAAATAAATAAATAATATAATAAAATTATTATTATTGTTTTTATAATCGACCAAACTTTTTTTATATAAGATGTGTACAACATTTTATATTTATTATATACCAGTTTAATTACTAACTCACTAGTTCAACCAGTGTCCCATTAACCCATTAATTAGAACATTGTACCAACACAATCAAATGATATCTTTGATTTTATTTTTCTAGACTTCTACATTATAGTTTAATTTAGGTAAATTTTCACACTCACTTATAATTGAAGGAAAAAATGAGATAAAATAAATAAAATTATTTTCACAATTTAAAATTAATTTATACATCTCATGTTTTAGAGAAATTAATTAAGAAAACATAAAAAATTAATTTTAAATTATAGAAAATTTATTTGCTTTATCTCTTTTTTCTCTTTTACAAGTATTTCTGTAGAAATTTATTAAAACAGAGTCAATGTTTAGGTGGAATGGAAATAAAAACGATGAAAGGAAATAAAAGGAAGGGAATTACCATTATTTATTTAGTTGGGGGAGGGTAGAGCAGAAAGGTGATATTCTTTCTGTGGACTCCATCGCGACAATAAAAATATTCATTTTGAAAGGAAGTGTGAGAGAGGAGGCAGGGAGAGTGGAGGAAGTGTGACTTTTTTATTATTATTTAAATTATTAAAAAATTCATATAATATAAAATATAAAAATTTTAAAATAATTTTTTATTAAATAATATTTTATTAAAACAATATGATGATAAAAATAGATTTGTTTAATTTATTTATATATTTATAATTTTTGTCAATATAATTTAATTATTTCTTTCTATTATCATTTTACTCATCAATATTAATGGAGAGATTTTTTTTTATTTTCTGTTTTTATGTAACAATTCATTCTTTTAATCCATTTTCTATTATCCTTTTTTTTTTCTTTTTTTCCTGTTTCACCTTAGATTCAAAGAGATATATTTCCTTCCCATATTCTTAGAAACAAACAGAGCATTGAAAGTGGAAATTTCGAAATGAATTTCCCAAGATGGAGAGTTGATTAAGTATAAGAGCCTGTTTGTATAAAAAACAGAACATGGTTATCACGATTTTCAATGTTATTTTAGCATGACTTAACCTAGTGAAATTTTTCTGACCAACGGAGTTGACCAAGGTGAAATTTAACAGGCCTCAAAGTCAGCCCAAGTTAACCTTTAGTGAGTAGGAGTCAAACTGGAAAAGCTCATCTGAATTTCCCAAGTTGGGAGCTACGTACCGGTACCATTTGCATATGACATCATATAAACAGAGGAGTCTAGCTTCATCTCACACTGAGGCACGATTCTTGTCATGGAGTCTTAAACCCCACCATTGATTGATTGGACCTCCTTTTAAACGGACGACTTCTATAGCATATTCCCAACCACTGGAGACCCAAAAAAAAACATGCCTAGCTAAGCCTGGCTGGTAAGTTCAAGTTGTGAACAGCAGCCACAGGAGAGTAGGTTAAATAATTAAATTTGATGAATCGATCATTCTGGCATTCAAGATGATGGGTGTTACAAAGTGCAAGTAGTTTGTGTGGGTTTTGAGAGAAGGGCATCTTATTTCTCTCCCTATGCAACATTGTACATGATTTTTTATAGAAAATTATAGCATTTAATATTATCAATGCATTAAATAACATTAAATTCTCTAATAATTAATAAAAAAATTTATGTATAACTTTTTATCATTTGCAATTACATAGATTAAAACAATTCCTTTACACATATTGGAGTATAAGATTTGGCAATTCATGTAGAGGGTGCAGCTTTGCAAAGACATCAACAGAAGCAGCTCTGCAAGATAAGCATAGTGAACCACAGTTGAATGTGAGATCTGACCAACCCCTAGGAGGTTGGTAAAGTCATTGTAGTTCAACACGGATATAAAAGAAAAGAAAAGAAAAGCTGATAAGAGAAGAGTGTGAATGTACAGTGTTTAACGAAAGAAGTGTCTAACTGTGTCATGAATAGGATGACTTTCTAATTCCTTTGTAAAATACTTGTAGGAATCCCAAAAGAACCAAAAAAAAAAAAAAGGACACCGCGAGAGTAAAGGCCATTTATAAAAGGCAGAGGAATTAAGTATATTATTTAATATCTGAAAGAAATTGAACCACTGACTGATATAGTAGGTGTGCATGCAAGATTTGATGAATTTCTTATTATAGCTTGTCATTAAGAAATTCTACCATTTTCCTACACAAAAATATTATCCTAGTACAGTAGTACCTATTAGATATAACTATTAAAACATCATTTCATCACATACAACCCAAAACAACAGCAAATTCGTGAGCACAGTCAATCTTGAAAACACTGAAGACGACGAATGTGAAACCTAGTTGTCATTCATAATGGAGAGCTACAAAAAGTTTATTATACAGTAGATTGCATCTGAATTTGCCAACCAAAGTAATAATGCATGATATCGTGAAATTATTATGATCAGACTCGGGAGAAAATGAGATCAGAAAAAAATTTGAATATATCTATTAACTTCCTTGATCTTGCCAAAAATGAATAAAGATGAGGTGAGACCTGTGATGTTGACAGCCGTCAAAAAACTGCTTTAACTTAAAAACACCAGCCTGAGGGCCCAGTCCAAGATGGAAAGTATTTGCATCACCATCTTGATGCCCCCACATGACAATCTTCTCAGTGCTACCACAAAAATGCGCTATGGGACTGAATTGCATCTTCCTTGAGTATCACGAAAATTCCAGTCTCAGGTTCACTACTTTCAGCTGGTGAACATATGAATATTATGTTCCAATTCTTTCAAGATTTTCGGAGACAGTTTTCATTCTAGGCCGGACTTCAGGGTCTCCCTCAGTGCATTGTAGTGCTACATGAAACACAGCTAGTACCTCTTTCTTGGCATGCACTTCATGAAGAAGTGATGGATCAACCATTTCAGATAAAGGACTTTCTTGTTCAAACCCTTTCCTAACCCACCTCACCAAATCAGGGACTTCCACAGAAGTTGATGGGGCGGGAGAAGAATCTGGGGACTTCCCAGTAAGCAGTTCAAATAATACAACTCCAAATGAATATACATCCCATTTCTGGGTGGGTCTGCAGCCTGGGACTCGAGCCTCAGGGGCTTTATAGTTGTTAGTTCGCTCTGTTTGTGATGGCTTCAAGTAAGGAAGAGCTCCGCCCATAAAGCCACCGGAGGAGGGGTTGTTGCCGGTGATGCTGATTAGTCTGTTAAGACCAAAATCCGAAATGTGGGGATGGAAATCGTTGTCAAGGAGGATGTTGGAGGGTTTGATGTCACCATGCACAAATTTTCTTGGACTGCATTCATGGAGATAGGCTAAACCCCTGCCTGTTCCTTTGATGATCCCCAGCCTGGTTGACCATGAAAGGTTAGGAGATGGTTGACCATTTCTCCCTGCGTAAATAATTAGGATTAAATATAAGATATTTTTAGCTGAATTTTTTATTGAGAAAACTATAAATCTAGGACAGAATGCAAACACAGATAATGCTTTTCACTCAAAAAGGATTTTATACAAATTCATGATAGAATGATATATCTTCAAATAAAAAGTAAAAAATAGCAATTTTAAATATTTTTATGAATAATTTCAAATGCGATATCATGAATAATTGGTTGGCTTATCTCACATCCTACGTAACAAATTATTCTATAAAAAAATATTAACATGTGTTAGCATTTTTCTTATAATAGTCAAACGTTAGTGCAGTAGAAGGATGGAGAGTAGAGAGAATAGGAAAACAGTTCTGATAGGGCCCGGGGTTTAAACAAGCAATCGTGATGCTGGTAGAGACAGCTTGAAAGTCAGAAAGTTTGGCCAAAAGGAAAATTATGGAGCAAGGAAAAGTAAGGTTTTCCACCAGGGGCCTAGGAACTAGGAAATTCAATTACAATGAACAAAAATATAGGAAGATCAACTTTAGCTGAATTGTGAAATAAAGGCACAAAAGCGGCACAAACTTGAGAGTCCTTCTTTGGCCTACAAACACAAGAAGCTTTATATAAAGCTACTTTAAGAGATACTGTTACTGTGTGTGTGAGCGATAACTGATAAACATGGCAATATACGCATAGAAAAGGAATCCAAACAACAAATATATATATATATATAGTCAACAGACACTGCACTTGAGAAATGACTTGGGTTTGAGAAACAGCTACTTTTCCACCTAAAGTTTTGGTTAGTTTTGTGGCCCATGTGCTGATAATATGAGCCGAAGGTCTAGAAATTAATGGTCCCCAACATGAATACCACTGCAGTCACATTTCCCAGACACATGGTGAATGTCTTACTTTCTCGTCGGATGCCCCCAAGGGGAGCTCATTTACATTACCACTGTTGTCTCACCAAACAATTTCTTGGATCCAACGCCCCCTTGTCAACAATAAATAAGCATCACACTAAAGTCCTCCTCTAGCCACTCTCACTCACACCTCAAATTAAATTATATGTAATGTTATTTCTTTATTCCTACCCCGACAAACTAAAATTTAATATTGCACATTTGCACCAGTTAACCTACCATTTCGGTCCCATTGTCCCACAAATCTATAACAGAAACGACAATTCTAACCAAAAATAATAATAATAATAATAAAAAAATGGAAAAATACAGAGCTCCAACGCGAGTTTCTTTCATTGTTTTGTTTTTCCCTGCAAGTAAATCTACCATATTTTTATCATTACTTTTGTAAAAATAATGTAATATTTATATTGATAGCAATTCTTTCTAGAAAGGACTGTTTTTCTTTTGCCTGAAATAAAAAACAACAATAATTAATCTAATCATTGAACGAACAGGGCATAACATTCGGACAGAACTCGTGAAAACCAAAAAGTGAAAAAAAAATATATCTTACAGAACTCAAGAAATATTGAAAGCATAGTGACAAAACAAATTACACACAGACGATTAATAGAGCCTAAAGTGGCTAAATACATTAAAGCTAGTTTTGATTAATCCACTATCGTTTCATCAGTCCATTTAACGATAATGTTATATTAGATATTTTCTTAAAAGTTATTATTTATTAAATTACACTGGTCTAAATTAATACGAAAGTAGAGTGATTAAACGCTCAGGCAATTATTAATCTCTACTAAATTTATAAAGAAAAAATTGTAGATAAAAATATTCATCTCAAAAATTTTAGATAATGAATAAAATCAAACGGGATATATTGACACAACCACCTCCCAAACTGTTTATATTACTTGCATTACCTATGTGATCCAATTTCACCAAGTTATCACGAGCTATTATTATTATTCTTTTACTTCTGTTATTATTCAACTCTATTTATTAGCCATCACTATTTTATTTTTCTTTCTTCTGGAAACAGTCATCACTGTTTAGACTCTTTACTCCAAAGCCTGCTACTCTGCTATGGATGGTGAAGAGGGCCCTTATGACTGAATGAAACAAATGAAATGAATGACCGAAAATGTGAAAGGAGTGACTCACCTCTAAGGGCAGTGGCCAAATTGCCGTTGGAGATGAAATCACTGATCAAGAGCTTCTCATCAGGAGCCCAATAATAGGCTCTCAACTTAACAACGTTGGGGTGCTTCACTTTGCCAATGGCCTGAACCTCAGCAGCAAACTCCTTATACCTTTGTTCCCCACCCTCCCCCAGTCTCCTCACAGCCACAGGCACCCCATTCCCAAGCACCACCTTATACACAATCCCCAACCCACTCTTCCCCAACACATATGCAGAGGCCCTCAATAGCTCATCAAGCTCAAAGTTAAAACCTTTATCAATTGCCACCAATTCCCCTTCCCCTTTTCCACCCTCTCCCCCTCCTTTCTCCCCTTCTTCCACCTCTGAATCATCACTCTTCAACCCATTCACACATCCCAAAGAAGAACACCAACAACACAAACTCGATTTTTCATTGTTTTCACCAAACTTTCTCTTCAAAGTGCAACTACACCCATTCGCTTTATCCTTCTTCTTCCAATAAACGTACACAATCACAAGCCCAATCAAAGCCACTCCAGCAGCATCAGCCACCGATATCAAAATAATCAAACCGGGACTCATCCCTTTCGTTGAACGCCCTTCTGGTTCACGAGCCGAACCGGGCCTCGAACCCGGTTCGCTCGGCGCTGAACCGCTACACGATTTCTGCAAAGGGAACCCGCACAGGTTCGGGTTGTTAAGAAACGCGGTGGGTCCCTGGTTCGAAAACGACCCCGTTTGAGGAATCTCACCGCTGAGATCGTTGTTCCGAAGATCGAAACTAACTGTCACTGGTAAATTCCCTAAAGACTTTGGAACCTTACCCGATAGATGGTTGAACGAGAGGTTTAGGGTTCCGGAAAGGGATTTAAGGTCTCCGAGTTGGTTAGGGATTGAGCCTTCTAGAAGGTTCGAGGAGAGGTCGAGTTGGACTAGGTTTTTCAGCTCCGGCCACGGAGTCGCCGGAACCTTGCCGGAAAACTTGTTCCGTGCGAGGATGAGGCGCTGAAGTTGCGAGCAGTTGCCGAGGGTGTCGGGGATGGCGCCGGAGAGGGAGTTGTCGGAGAGGTCGAGGTTTTCGAGGCGGGGGAGGTTGCAGACGGAGGGAGAGAGGTTGCCGGAGAGGTTGTTGCCGTGGAGGAAGATGCTGTGTAGAGCGGTGGCATTGAAGAGTTGCGCAGGGATAGAGCCATGGAACGCGTTGGTGTGGAGGTTGAGGCGCCGGAGGTAGAGTAGGGTTCCGAGCTCCGACGGGAGGTAACCGCGGAGGCCTTTGCCGGAAAGAGCGACGCCGACGACGCGGGGCTCCGTGACGCTGGAGATATTGGCGCAGCTGATGCCGGACCAACGGCACGGGGTGGCGTCGGCGTCATTCCAGTTGGAGAATGCGGCGGCGCTGGAGGCGTCGACGGCGGATTTTAGAGTGAGAAGTGCGATGCCGTCGGAGGAAAGAGAAACGGCGGGGTGGAAGAAGAAGAAGAAGAGAAGGATGAAGAGAGTAACGGTCATTTAGATTGATACGACACCGTTCTGGAAGTGGTGTTATGGATGAATGATACGGTGCGTAAAGTTCAGGGTTGGAAGAGGTAATGGAAATAGTTGAGGAGCAGGAAAGTGTGGAAGTAGTTGTATTTATTAGACAAAAGATATCATGAGTTGGGGGAGGATGAGGTTTTAATTTGGTGGGGTCCAATTCCCGCCAAAAAGATTGAGAAAGAAAACAAAACACAGAGAAAGAGAGGACTTGCTAACAGAATGAGTGAAGTTAAGTGAAGTGAAAGAGAAGCAATTGCCAATTGGAAGAGAAAGGAAGAATCTTGCTCCCTTTGCTTTTTGGATCATTCGATTTGGAACTTGTTTTAGTTTTTACTATTATTGATATTATGCTTATTATTGTGCTCAACTAAACTATGGTGGACTTTGTTGAGGGTATAACAACAAAGACAAATTTTTAATCCCCACGAAATTTGTGTTGATTCCTGATGCATGTGAAAATTTATTTCTTGCAAGTTCTCAGTATTTGTGTTGAATACTTATGTAATAAAATATATGGAATATTGCACAACTTTGATCCATGAGTATCGGGTAGTTTATATTAATATCATGTGCTCCAATTGTAGTCTAGCAATTTATCGACTTCAATTTAGTTAATTTTTCTTTTGAATTATTGGAATACATTCAATTTATTGAACTAAAGTGTTAATAATGGTAGATGCATGGGACAAAAATGAATTCCACGACATCATGAGCTCTTTGTTGTCATGACACTAGGAAAACATGGGACTTGAACCAAACACCACTCTCTTACATTCATAATGGGAGGGTTACACCTACATTAAACACTTGTTTGTACCTCACATTCCATTCAAGTTACGGTCCATTGCTCCTTCCCTCAATGGGTACAGCAGAAAGACCCAGCTTTTGCTCTAATTATTTATTCTTTGAACGGAACTATACGTGATAATTGCATCTACTTCTCAATCATGCAAAACAAACTTAGAAGCTAACATAGCCGCACGAACTATAATGCAATTTGTTTTCAGTATTTCTTGTGCGTACAATTTCAGGAATGATTTCTATGAGCAAAAGATGAAAGAACTTTATGCATGCTCAATCATATCTTCCCCTATTTCAAAAGAAGACAGCTTAAATTCACTCCTAAAGAATAATTAGATACGCTTTGAGGAAGAAAATATATCATTAAAAGGGTTTGCTTTGTTGTCAAGGGATAGAGTTGGTACCAAATGAATTCCAACTACACAAAACCATCAAATTAACCTCAACAGTTAGATCAGGAACATAGGTCCCGCTCCTAAATAAATGAACTTAATAGTTTGCTCTCTGTAATAAATCTTAACATGAACAACACAACCAAAATTAGAATATCCTGTTAAATGTTTTGATATGGGCATAATTCAGATTTTAAAGAGAACATACTTTATAATTAAATTGCAAGGTTCAACATCTGAGTTTGTAAATGGTTTTACTTGATTTTTTCTGGGCACATGAATGAATAAAAAAAGTTTATATTGAAAATTATCTTGACAGTATATTCAAAACTATGATAAAAATACATTGAGAACTATAATAACGCGTGTGAACTTAAAGTGTTACAGATGCAGAATTATTGTGAAAATAAATTAGAGCGAGGAAGGAAATTAATGTGTTGAGAAAGGTCAACGTGCCACTTGCTACGTATAACGTATGAGAGGTATTAACGTGCCATGTGCAGGCAGCATCATCTCTTCAATTCAAGGCCTATTCAGAGACCTAAATTTCCCTGAACATTACCATCTTAGCTTGGGATATTTTTTTCAATTCCTTCTGAACCTGACAATTCACTAGTTTTGTGATCTTCAAACGGAATCTTACTTCACGTTGAATTTTGGTGTTAAATTGGTTTTAAGCTCATAATTTCTAAATTTTATATAACTTTACAAAATGCCAAATCCCCTTTTACATAAAAAATGAAAAGAAAAGTTAAATATAATTTTAATTACTGTATTTTAATGGTTTTTTTATTTTTAATTTCTCCAGAAAATTATTTTATTTTCTTCTTATATTTTTATCAATCATTATTTTTAGTTTCTTTGACTGATAAGATTTAACAAAAAAATTTGACATTTGAAAATGTTTTAGTAAATCGAATCAATAACCGAGATTATAAATAAAAATTCATGAAAAAGCAAGAATTAAAAAATATTGAAGTAACTAAATAAAAATTGCCTTCCCTCTGTCTCTAAACAATATAGTCTTTGCAGTCACTTTCAATTTTAAGGTAGAATTAATTATTTTGTTACAATTTACCCTTAACATAATTATTATCTCAAAACTTGCTTTTCTATTTTCATTTATTGTATAAACAAATTCCAAAATGGGTATAATAGAAAATTTTATAATACTTTTAATATGAATAAAATAATTAAATGCAATTTTTAGTTACTGTTACAACTTTAAATGAATATATTTTTAGAGATAAAGAGAGTACTAAAATATAAAGATAAAAAAAATATTTTTAAAAATAAAATAACTCACTTTACATTTCAAATTTGCAATAATTCATAGAGATTTTTCAAGTGCTACCAACCTCATAAGATTTTTTTATTGATATTAGGGACTCGGGAACGAATGATAAAATGTCTTGAATAAGTATGAATAAACAAATTCTACTAAAAATTCACTTGAGGATCCAGGTGCTATAAAATTTGGAACAATGAAACTTACCAAATAATTGTATTTATTACGAAAAAAAAACTGATATAGAAAAGAAAAATTGTAATAATGTTTATTAAATAAATGAGTCTTTACAGTAGGCACTACAATATCTAAAAGTTTAACAATACTATAAATACTAAAAATGTGGAAACACTGACAATTAGTTTAGTAACAAGCAACTACAGAATGAAAAATGCAGACATTAATAGTTTTTTTAATTTTTGAAACATGAGTAGCTCTTGAACAGCTTTATAGTTGAATTGTTATCACATTAAATATGAGAGTTGGTGCTTTACAATTAGCATGAAGTTCTTCAAGAATATCCCTTAATCAAATTAATCGGCAAGCACATGCTTAAACTGATACAAATTTTGCTTCTATTGTTGATAGAGTAACAATGGGTCACTTTTATGAAGACCAAGAAATAGCTGTTGACCCCAACATAAAAACATAACATTATGTACTTCTATTGACATTTGGAACATATGCATAGTCATTATCAATAAATCCAAGTAAATATGACTTTTCATCCTTCTGGTAGAATAATTCATAAAATAGAAATCCAATCAATCAATGTAAAAACTCTTTGCCTAAAGCAAGAACTAAGAAAATGCAATGAACTTTGAAAGGTCTAATTATGAAACTAAAAAAAAAAACAAATTTAAATCATAAAAATAAAACTCGAGAAGCAACAACAAATAAAATAATGATCTTACTTACTTATATATAAATATATGAAGACTCAAAATAAGAGGGCAACTCAAAAAAAAAAAAAAACTTGATAAATCAGTTGAAATTATAATTTAAAATTGACTTGTTAGAATTTTATATTACTTAAAAATATGTTTAAATTTCTCTATTAGGATAAAAATTATATTAAATTACATTAGAATAAAAAATTGAATTAGAGATATATTTAAATTTAAATATTAGAACAATTATTATTTTATTTTAAATTTAGAGATATATTTTATTAATTAATTATAAACACATTTCATTAAATATGTTTATGTTAATTATTAAATTATTAATTAATTCATTTTATTAAGTTAAAATTATTTTATTAATGTAATAATTTATAATGTTAATATATAATGACTCTATCTTTATTTATTATAAATTGTTAAGACTTATTTATATCATTAATCTCTTTTAAAATTAAGTAACGTTCTAACTTTATTTTATTAAATCACTATTTTTATTAATTAACCTAAGTATATTTTTATTATTTTTCAAATATTTCTATTTTTATTAAATAAAATTAATTTAGTATTTAAAGATATTTTTTATTTCTAAATTTAATAAATTAAATTACTAAGCATTTTATTTTTTAAAATTATTTTTTATTTTATCATACAATATACAATATTGATGTGTAATTTATATTATCTTAGGTTGTAGAATAATGATTTATATATAACTTATATTATTTTAAATTTTTATAATATTAGTTTTCCATTTAAAACACTTACTCAAAATATTTTGAACTAAAACATCTTATTTTTATTATTAATCTATTTTTTCTTTGCAATAATTTACAATATGAGTCTATGATATTCTTTTGTTTCTTATATTATTTATTATAAAATAACATGTATAGTTGCACTATCTTATATTTTAAATGTTATCATTTTATTAAAAAAAATATAATTTTAAAATAATCTTTTAAAAATATTTTAAATTAACAAACTATTTTGAATTTTTTTTATAAATTTTCAAATATTTTATCTGCAAGGCCTTTGATTTTAAAACTACACAATGTTATACTCAATTTTAGATAAGCAAGTTCAAGAAATCAAGATCAACCCTAACATCATGTTATTAATTTTTAATAGAATCAATGCTCATATTCTCCTACAGATTTTAACCATTGAAGATGGCACAGTTTTCAAAATATGCAACCATCTATATATAATCAATTATATTATTTTAACACCCTATTTGAATGTTTATACACAACTACCACATACATCTGTAGTACACAGAGAGAAATTAAAAGAGTACACCATAGTAGATCTTAAAATTTTATTTTCGCTTCATTTTCTCTTTATCATGTGTTTCCCTCCCAATCTCTAAGACTCATTTGCTTCTTCCTCTCAAATCTAATTTATTCTTAAGTTTATTAAGCTTGTAATTTCTCAAGCTAGTTAAAAATCACTTTTCTTCATTAAACTTAATTTTTGAAAGTCACACACTCTCGATCCCCCTCTCTTAAGCTCACAATCGTGCTCCTATCGTGAATGTTGAGCTTCTCTATCTATTGTTGAAGTTCTTGATTACTAAATAAATATTAATATATTGAATCAAAATATATTTCATA